AAAAAACACTGTGACCTGATTACGTAGAGACGAGTCATATTCTTCTTCCTCTGCTCGCCAACTTGCTCGCTGGACGACTCGAATTTGGTGCCTACGCCAGTTCTTGGTAGCGCTGAATGAGCCGCCGCCGGTCGTTGCGCATCTCCGTGTGTCGGTTGTAAAACTCTTCGAGCGCAACGGACATGCCAACCGGCACGCCACTTGATGTCTGGAACCAATGCTCGTAGATCGCCACGTAGTTGCCTTCCGAGTACGACGCTATTGTACCATGTGAACTACCTCTGACATCTCCAAGCGTTCATACCAGACACGAGCGGACCGTACCCGCGCGGCGGCTTGGCTGCCAAAATGTCATGTTCAAACCAGTAGCCAATGTTGTCCGTGTCGACGCCGTCCGCATGCTTGAGGAAAAACCCATTGTCTTCGTCAAAGCCAAACGTGTGGACCTTGCGCGCGCTGTACAAGGCTTCCTCGACATCGTACCGCAAGCCATACGAGGCCACGCGACCGTCGTCATCATCAACGAGCGCAAAGGCGTCGTCTTGGCCAAATGCGACGCGGCAGTTGATGGCCGCGGCTTCAAGGAACACTTTTGAGACGTTGCTGGCCCACCAGTGCGCACCAGTGCCGTCGGGCTTGGTGCCGCTCATGTACCACTCGTCGTTGGGGCCGAGCGCTGCGTGCGTCACGTGCCGGCCTTTCGCAATGCAGTTCTCAATCTGGCGCGCCATGCCAACTGGGAGATTGAGCTTGAAGCTCTGCGTGAACGACCCGTCTTCTTGGACCTCGTTGAGCACGAGAAGATATTCGTCGCCTTGGAGGATCGCAACAGGGATCGAACGACCGGGCGCCTGCTCGGCCACGCGCGGAGGGCATCGGTAGAGTACGTCCGACGGCTCGAGAGAGCACCAGCCAACGACATCGTCGTACGAGACACGCGCAAACAAGGCGCCGTTGGTTGCGATGACGTGGCAGATTGTCGTGACGAGGTGGTTGACCGGCAAGGTCGCTAGAACGGTGCTGTCAGGCCACGTGTAAATGTTGCGGTACACGTTCGTCGGCGTCGACACCTTGATGATGGTGTGGGTCGTGATCGCTCGGCGCCGCCGCAAGCAATGCAGCGGCAGCCACGCGGAGCAGTTCTCGAGCCGGACGAAAACATCGTTGGTCACGGGGTCTTGCACGCGCAGGTCGGACGCCACGAGGTCGCCGACTGTGAGCAAGTCGTTGCGCGTAAAGAGGCAGCTGTGGCTGGCTGCAGGCCTCGAAAAGAACATCGACGCCTCGCTCGCAGCGTACGTCTTGAGCTCCGGCGTCGTCGTCGCGCGTACCGCTACAGCAGTGTACGGCGCGTGTTCTTGCTGCTCGCAGATGTAGCGATTGCGCAGCGCCGGCTCGTTGGCCGCCGCCAGAAGCAAGAAAATGTGGTTGGACGACGAGCCATAGACGCGCTTGGTCACGACGACGAGATCGCCGGCGGGCAGCGTGACGGCGCGGGCATTCGACCGATTGTGTACGGGATGGTCGAATGAGGGCCGTGAGTAGACTGTGAGCGCCACGTTTGTGCGGTAGACAAAGTAGCCGACCTCTGGCAGCGCCTCGGTCCGTCGCAAAGGAGGCACGACCGCGACCGGAGAGATGGCCCGTGCAGCGGGCGAAGCGCCGCGAGACACCGAACGACCGCTGCGGTACTCGCCGATGGCGCGCTTGAGCGCGAGGTTCGGGATGAGCTGCAGTGAGCGCAGCGGCAGGTTTGTCGCCGGGCTCGTCACTTGACGGCCGGGCGCTCCCTCGCGACTGGTACTGATCCACTCTTCGATAGCCGACCGCTCGTACGAGTGGCCATCGGTAGTCACGACCGGGTCGTCCATGACGTCGTGCGTGATCGGGCAGATGAACGAGTCGAGGTGGCGGGTCATGCTGCGTGCGTCGTTGTTGTTCGCTTCCGGTCTCCTGCCAGACGGCAGAAGAGCGACTGTTTCAAACAGCAGATAATCTGTTTCTTATACTGTTTAATACACCTTTCTCCCACAATCAAGGGAAACGTCATATGGGCACATTGACAGGCGACCTCGAAGCTGCCGTCGCTCGACTTGAAGCGTCTTCAAAGATGCGCGGGAAGGTCGACACGATGTGGTCGGGCCCCAGTGCGAATATCGCTGTGGCAGCGGCCAATCCCATCTTGATCGCTTGCTCCAAGCGTCGAACCAACGACGTTTCTGACAATTATGGTCCAGTTGGTCACCCTACCTCTCGTCGTCATGTGCACCAACTCATTATTTAGCTAGGTTCCGGGCTATAAGATCTCATATTTCTGGTCACTCCGCCACCTCGTCTGGCGAGCACCAGAACAATGTCACGGCTGGGATCCGCGATCCAGCGCGTGTGTTCTCTTCTCCATGACAACTTGCAGTTCAAGATGAAGTTCAAGTTGCAAAGCCTCTACGAGCGGGTTTAGGTTTAGCTTTGTAAATAGTCCAGTTTTCCTTTTGCCTCCAAGCTCAAGTGTCCCAACAAACAACGCGGTGTTCATCCAGAATCAATAGGATCCAGTGCTTTTCTGGTACATTGCATCTGGTCATACGCAAAGTCACTACCGACGCGCTGGCCACGATCCAAGTACGTCGCGTTGTTGATCACCATACCACAGCATTATGCACACAAATGCTCCCTTCCTGCGTACCTCAGGCGACGAGCTCGTCGTAATCTTCAATGAGCTGGCGGCGGTCGTTGCGCATTCGGTGGTGGCGGCTGTAGAATGCAGAGAGCGCGTCATACATCGCCTTGGGCACGTAGTGCGTCGCATAGAATGCGTGCTCGTAGATGGCCACGTACTCCTCGAGGCAGAGTGACACTAGTCAATGACGACGTTCGTGAGCCAAGATGACGCCAAACCAGACGCGTACGCCAGATGAGCGACCCGTAGCCGCGCGGCGGTCGAGCGTCCAATACATCCTCTCGGACCCACCGCGGCACGTTCTGCGTCACGACGCCATTCGTGTGCTTGAGAAAAAAGCCCGAGCTCCCGTTGAAGCCAAAGGTGATGACGTCCGGGTCGTCATTGAGCACGTCCGCCGTCTTGAAGTCCAGCCCATCGCAGTCGTACGACGAGTTGTCCTTGTCCAGAAGCAGGTACCGACCCTTGTTGCCAAACGCGACGAGGCATTCCGGCGTCATTTCGCACTCGAAGTCGTACGGAACGTTGTCGCTGGCGACGCACTTGCCATACAAGCTGCCGGGCACGACGCTGCTCAGGTACCACTGGCCGTCGGGGCCAAGCGCTGCATGCGTGAGGTGCCGGCCCGCCTCAGTGCAGGCGGCGACCGCTTCCGCCATCCGATTCGGGAGGAAGTAGTAGACTCGTTGGCCGACGCCACCGTGGCCTTGGACCTCGTTGAGCGCGAGGAGATAGTAGTCACCTTGCAGAAGCGCGATAGGGATGGACCGCCCCGCGGCTTCCTCGGCGATCTGCGAGGGCCGGCGCCGGTAGACGGCGTTCGTATCGACTTGGATCCAGCCGTCGACGCGACCGATCGACACGCGGGCAAAGCACACATTGCCCAGTGTGAGGTGGGCAGAGGACACTATGCTTGTCCGCGCCGGTAGCGTCTCGAGAACGGGGCTTGACGGCGTCGTGTACATGTTGCGGTACACGGACACGTCCGTGCTCGGACAGAGGAGGAGGCGCTGTGTGCTCAAGGCGCGCGGTGCGAGGCGTGAGACCGGTAGCCACAACGAGCAGTTGTCGAGGCGCACAAACTCGGCGCGCGTGACCGGGTCCTGCGCGCGCAGGTCTGTCGCCACGGTCGTGCCGACCGGTGCGCTTTGCTGCGTCGAGAGGCCATGGCGATTGGTCGTCGGCAGAAGGTAGAAGTTGGCGGCTTGCGTCGTGACGTAGGTCGCGGCTCGCGAGTGAGCGTCGCCTCCATGACCAACGGGGCGTACGGGGCCGACACGGCCTGTGCGAGGACGTACAAGCCACGGAGGCTCTCGTCGCCGCCGCCCTCCAGCAGCAAGAAGACGTGGTTCGAGTCGGCGGCATAACGACGCTCGGAGACGAAGAACATCTCGTCGGCGACCAACCCGCGCGGCAAGGGAACGCTGCGCACCGACGGCTTGCTGTACAAAGCGAGACGCTGCAGCGCGCGGTAGGCAAAGAGGCCGCTCTGCGGCAGCGCGGCGCTGCGGCGCAGCTCGGGCGCGGCTTCAGCGGTAAAGTCCGTGGGAATGGTCACGTTGAACCGGTACCGCTTGGCCGGCCGCTCGTCTAGCTCGCTCTTGTACTCGGCGATGGCCTTCTTGAGCGCAAGGTTTGGAATGAGCTGCGTCGAGCGCAACGGCAGGTTGGTCAACGGGCTTGTGGCCACGCCGGCCCGCGACTCGGCTTGGCTGCGTTGGATCCAGCGCACGATGGCCGACCGCTCGTACGAGTGGCCGTCCATCGTCACGACCGGGTCGACCATCACGTCCTGCGTGATCGGGCACAGGTACGCGCTTGGCGGCGCCATGGTTCCGGTCGCCTCGCAAATCCAAAAGAGCACTTTGCCGTTACGGTATCCGTATCCGGTAAAATGACACCAAGTTTCTTGGTGACCTGACGATCTTGCCTGACGATGCATCGCTCCATCGCGCATTCGAAGCTTATCGCAATCATGAAATGTCAGAACCATGTTGCCAATGTACCTGCAGACAAACCCACTTCGGCGACCCATTGGCGTCGACGACCAGGTCCACTAAAGTTATGACGTTATTGCACGTGTCGTACTGGAGATATCAACTACAGGAGTCTCCATATTTGCCCCCGGACAGTGCTACGCGACGTCGCTAAGTGAAAAGATGCTCCAGCCTTGGCACAGCTTGGTCTCGATCTCGGCGAAAACGACGCCGTTGACGCGGAAGTGCAGGTGCGACGTCACGACACGAGCGTTTCTCCGTGTCGAGCGGCTCGACGGCGCGCGTGAGGCACGTGTTGCGCAGAATGGGCAGCCCGATGCGGGTCCGCACGTTCAAGGGCGTCGTCTCCACGGCGACCGGCGTCAAGAACGAGCACGCGACCCAGAGCTCGGTCGCATAGAGCCGAATGAACGCCGCGCCAGTCACAGGATCTTCGACATGAAGGTCGCCAACGACGACTTCGCCTGCTCGAACCAAAAGTCCGTCGCGGTCCGGGCCTTCTTGACGGGGCGTAAACTCGCACGACGTGTGCGTCGACGGGCGGAAGTACACAGCGCCTCAGTGTGTGCGATGAAGGCCATGATCTTGTCCGTCATCGCTGCTCGGATGGCGACCGGCGCATGAGGCGCGTCGGCGGCCAGCTCGAGGACGTAGCGCTCGCGCAGCGTAGATTTGCAGTCGCGGCTGACGCCGAGAAACACGTGGTTCGAGTCGCTGCCGTGCGTGCGTTTGGTCACGGCAAAGAGATCGCCCGCTGCTAACTCGTGCTGCACGCCGCGCTGCCGGCGCACCGCGTGTTGCAGCGACGGCTCCGTGTAGAGCGTGAGGTGGTCATGGCCCGATAGACGAAAAACTCGTACTGGGGCAGCTCGTCACGCCGAGGCAGATCGATGGCCGCAGTAGACAGCGCTGACGTCTTGAGCGCATGGTACGCGGCAGCAGCCTTCTTGAGCGCCGTGTTTGGAAGGAGCTGGGTCGACGGAAGGGGCTCGTTCGTGAGCGGGCTCGTGGGCACCGCGCGCGCTGTTAACCAGGCTTCGATCGCCGACCGCTCGTACGAGTGGCCATCCATCGCGACGACAGGATCAAGCATGACCTGCCGCGTGATGGGGCACATGACGGCGTCGTGCAGCGCTGCGAGGGGACCGTCCATGCCGACGGACGCAAAAGTCAGTTTGATTCGTGTTCAAAACAGGAGCTGTTTAAAACATGTGTCGTGCTTGGACCGTTTGCAGCGAGCCAATGGGAATGTTGCGCTTTGGACGAACAGCCAATCACAAACAGCCAATCAAATGCCAGATGAAGTTTTGCATTCTGCCAATCAGTGGCACGTGATGCGATCTTTGCGGGCTGTGGTCCTGGGCAAGCTTATTTGTCGCCGGCCAACTAAGCTTGCAGGACCAACAATGACATTTTTTGGAATCATCACAATCGACACGAATGACTCGGCCAAAACATATTTTGTTTTCCATCACATAACCCGTTTCGGCTAAAGGTTGGTCACAACACGGCGGCGTCCTTGATGCGGTAGTCCGTAGGGCGTACAGGGGGCGTTGCACATGTATTAAACAGCCGCCGAAAGAAAGACGCAGCAGGGCGGCGGTAGGTCTTGAAACCAAGGCTTCTTGTCCTTGACCTCTGCAGCTCATCCCCAACAAATCACAAGTGGACCCAAACACTCGAGTAAACATATACTGCATGAAAGTTGTCGCCACGGTTCTTCTTGCGACGTCGTCAACGATCCATCTCGCCGTCGTCCTCCTCACGCCGTGGTCGTCGCGAGGAGGTTGTAGCGCTTGATGAGCTGGCGACGTTCGTTCTGCATGCGCTGGTGGCGGCGGTAAAAGGCATCGAGCTCGTCGCGCATGGCCAACGGCACATTGCCCGTCGACGTAAACGAATTTTCGTGAATCTTGATATGCTCGCCGTTCGAGTAGATCACTACGCTCCACAGGATAAGTTACGTTTTGGGATAGTGACATACCAGCAATGAGCCGGCCAAAGCGTTTGGGCGGCGCCGGGTCGAGCACGTCATACTCGAAAAACTGCGACATGTTGGCCATGTACCCGCCCTTCGTGTCGTGGATGAAGCAGCCCCTCTCGCCCGCTAGGCCAAACGACACGAACGGACGCGCGGTCGCAGTCGCCAGCCGGTCGCGAAACGCCAAGGGCACGCCGGCAGTGTAGACACTCGTGCCGTCGTCGCAGACGTAGGCGCCGAGCTCGCCAAAGGCGACGCGGCAGTTGGTGGTCATGACACCTCGAAACGCGGCTGGAACGTTGTTGCTGACCCAAGCACAGCCGCCACTGCCGTCAGGCTTGGTGCCACTGATGTACCACTCGGCGTTGGGCCCGAGGGCCGCGTGCGTCACGTGCCGGCCTTTCGAGATGCAGTTTTCAATCTGGCGCGCCATGCTGTTGGGAAGACTGTACTTGATGCACTGGGTGATCGAGCCGTCACTCTGCACTTGGTTGGCGACCACAAGGTAGTAGCGACCTTGCAAGATCACGACGGGAAGGAAGAGCCCAGCCGACTTCTCTGCGAGGCGCGGTGGGCAGCTCGTGACAAAGTCGTCGTGTTGAAGCGTGCACCAGCCCGAGACGTTGTTGGTCGTGACGTTGGCGTAGCAGACGCCGGCGATCGTGGTCTGCTGTCGCGAGACCGCCAGCGTACCGACCGAGACGAGCGCGGCTTCGTCGCTGGCAAAAATATTGCGACGCAGCGACAGGTAGGCCTTGGGCCGCACCACGAGGTGCGCGGTCCGAAGCGTCATCTGCGTCAGGAGGGCACTCGGGACCCAGAGCGTCGAGTTGTCGAGGCGCACAAACTCGATCCGTGTGACCGGATCGCGCACGTGGAGGTTCGCTGCCAGGAGCGTGTTGATGGTAATGCTTCGGTCCGTCAGCGTCAGCACGCCGGTGGTGCTGGTTGTCGGCCGATAGTACCGGAGGGTCGCGGCCAGCGCACGGTAGACGGCCACCTCCTTCGTGACAATCGCCTGGATGGCCGTCGGAGCGTACGGCGGGTACCGACCTTGCTCGAGGATGTACAAGCCTTGAAGCGCGGGCTCGTTCTCGGTGCTCAGCTTCAAGAAGACGTGGTTCGAGTCGCGGCCATACTCGCGCTGCGAAACGACGACGAGCTCGCCGGCTGGGAGGACGAGTCGCTCCCGGTTCGGGCCCACCGCCGGGTCGTACAGTGACGGGTGCTTGAAGAGATCGAGGTTGCCCTCGGTGCGGTAGACAAAGTAGCCGGTCTCGGGCAGCGCTTGGTCGCGCGTGAGCACGTGCGTGGCCTGGCGCACCGACCGGGTCGCCTCGTGGTCTGGCGACAAGGCGCGGCGCCGCGACGCCTCGTTGGAGCGCGATCGAGCGGGCGAAGCATGCGTAGGTTGCGCACTGCGGTGCTCGTCAATCGCCTTCTTGAGCGCAACGTTGGGCAAGAGCGCTCGGGACGGCAGGCGCTGGTTCGTCGCTGGGCTCGTGTCGTGGTCCGTGAGCCAGCGCTCGATGGCCGCCCGCTCGTACGACTGGCCGTCGGCCGTCACGACCGGGTCCGTCATGACGTCATGCGTGATGGCGCACGTAAACGCGTCGAGTGGCGTCGCCATGCTTTGCTGTCCGTTGAGAAAAGTCACCTGCTCTCTTCGGATTTTTGTTTTCCCGCATTTTCGAAAATGTCCGTCCTTTTGAAACTTGAAATAGTGTGGTTGAGGAGGTTCGAGATGCACCACTGACAAGATGTTTGAGGATGCCAGTCGGCATGACTTGCAAGGTATAGTACAGTTCAAAGGAAGCTTGGCCACTCTTGGCTTTGTGCGCCAGTATCGTTCGATTGGTCGCGTGTGTGGCGTGACGTGGCGGCACGAGCGGGCGACTTTCGATCGCAGAAGCGGCAATGACAGTCCAGTTTTGACTTTTTGGCCAATCGGAGGGCTTCATTTCTCTGCAGGACACGACAACATCGATTCCCCGCTGGGAAATTGTCATCGAAGCGACTTCGACAACGGCGGGCGCCGAGGCGAGCGGACCCGGCTTCCGCGTAGGACCCGTTGCTCGCATCAACCGAGGGATCGAGGCCCTGGACTGGGAATGCGTGCAGGCCATGTTCGACGTACCCGGCAACAACGGCTCTGCGACTGCATGCGATGGGGACAGCTGCGTCGAGTCCGAGGATCAGACAATGAAATCGCGCAATTTTGCCACGATACTGCATCGATGATACCTGTACTGCGGTAACATACAGCCTAACGAGAAGCCACCGAGCCAGTGCGTTGGAGAAACATCGACAATGCTATTACCATTTCCACGTCCTTTCCTACGTAAAACCAATTCAGCATGTTGCTCATATACGAAAATTCTGTGGTCGAGTGCCGCAGTTCGAGTCCAAGGATGGTCGTAGTGGTTGCAAGGCGTCGGTACTAGGTTCACTGTGGCCTGCGAGCACAAGCCCTCGTCGCGTCGACTCCGACCGACGCGGATACACCCATCACGCTTATACAGGAGTGGAGAACTTGGCGCCGGGTTAGTGTGGTCTTGGCTCGAAGTCGAGAGCGTTTTCAAGCGTGTTGCCGTCATCGACTCGCACACTATTTCACCGTGAAAAATACACATCCCTACAACTGTTTTAAAGTGTTTTAAACACACATCCCAGATCTGGATTCAAGATTTGATTGCCAGCCATGAGCCAGCAGCACCTCTCGCCGCTTGACGGTGGCATCTGCGTCGCGTACCTCGTCTCGGTGCTAGTCGTCGGCGCCGTCGCCACGTACGCGTCCCGGCGCAAGGACGAGACGATCAACGACTACTACCTCGGCGGGCGCCGGCTGCCGTGGTGGGCGCTTGCGATCGCCGACGTCTCGAGCTACATTGACATTGCGGGCACGATGATCAACACGGCCTTGATCTACGCGCTCGGCGTGCGGGGCATGTACATCGAGGTGCGCGGCGGGCTCTGTCTCTTCCTCGCCTTCCAGCTCGCGTTCACGGGCAAGCTCGTGCGCCGCTGCCCCGTGCGCACCAAAGGCGAATGGTAATTACTACCTGCGTTCCATCCTCCGCCTCTCTTACTGACGCTAGAATAGGATCTTGTACCGATTTGGCGACTCGCTCTCGGGCCGAGTCGCGCGGACGCTCATTGCAGTCGTCTCGCTCCTCAGCGGCGTCTTGGGCGTCACGTACTTTGCGATCGGCGGCGGCAAGTTTGTCACGGAATTTGTGCCACTTGCGTCGTGGCTTGGCCTTCCGCCCGAGTTTTGGGCTGCAGGCGGCCTCATGCTCATCGCGCTTGCTTACACGATCGTCGCTGGCTTCACCTCCATGGTGCTCACGGACGTGTACCAGTCGTTCTTCATCTTTGGGTCCTTTCTTGTCGTCTCGATTCTCGGGTTACAAGTGTCGTTGCCAAATACGTTCCACGTCTTCCTTCCCACGAATGCCTCATCCACCTTCCTCAACTACACCATTACGCGCGAAGCATGGGCGTCGGCGCTCGGGTCCCTGGACCTCCATCTGCCGGCCACATCGACGTACAGCATGTACAACACCTTTACGCCCATCATCTTGCTCTACCTGAGTCTGCTCTGCTTTCGGTCGGCCTCTGGACCCGGCGGTATGCCATCATGTGTCACCCCTCAAAGCGATGTTGACGCTTGCTCTAGGCGGCGGCCTCCAAACCGTGCTCGCGACCAAGACGGAGCGCGAGGTGCGGTCCCAGACCTTCTTGGCGATGGTGCTGCTCCTCTTTCGATGGGGCTTCTCGGGCGCGATCTGCGTCCTCGCCATCACGTACTCGGTGGACCATCCGCACGTGGTCATTGACCCCGAGCGGGTCGTGCCTTTTGTCCTCGCCAACGTGCTGCCGTCCGGCCTACAAGGCGTCGTCCTCGCATCGCTTCTCGCCGCCGCCTTGACAACGTTCGACTCGACGATCAACAGCGCGTCGTCCTACTGGACCATTGACATTTACCAAGCCTTGGTCCGCCCGGAGGCTACAACGAAAGAGCTTCTATGGCACGCCCGCTTGGCAACGGTATGCGTGCTTCTCGCCGGCTGGGGCGCGTCGCTCTACATCCACACGATCAACCGCATTTGGGGGTAAGTCCCTCGGTTTCGGATAGACTTTGTATGGGGCTAGGTTTATGGTGGTTGCACTGAGCGGTGGCATGGTCGTGCCCAATTTCCTCGGCTGGTACTGGGCGCGCTTCAACGCCGTCGGCTACGCGTCTGGCATGCTCTCGGGTGTAGTGACGGCCATTGTCGTCTTCTTGTGCGGGAGTCGACCTTGATTTACAAGCTAAAAGCTGGTGTAGTGGCGTCCCGCACGTGGCCGAGTACGAGTGTTTCCTCTGGTCGTCGAGTCTCTCGGGCGCCGTGGCCATAGCCGCCTGCCTTGCATCGCCACCGACCAACGCACGGACGCTGCGCACCTTCTACAAGCACGTGCGCCCACCCGGCTTCTGGACCAAGGTAGGCGAATGACTGCGCCCAAAGCCGTAGAGCACAACATCCCATGTAGCTCGCTGCCACGTGCTTGGAGGAGGACGCGCGCCAGCGTACGACAGAGGAAAACCGCCTGGATCTCGCGTGCACGGGGCTCATCTTATTTGCTCAAGTCGCCACGTACGTGCTTGCAGTTAGCGTCGTCGTCAAGGCGTGGACGCAGTGTCTCGTGCTCCTCGGGTGCCTCAGCCTCGTTTCGCCGCTCATCTACACGCAGTGGTTCCTCAAGCTCGAGACGACGCTATCGCCCGTGCACGAGCGTCTCCTGCATCAAGACGAGGAGCTCCTGGACGATGAGTAGTAGTAGTAACGGGCGCTCTATTGAGTTTGGCGTGTTGCTCAGACGTTGCGCGGGTCTTCGCCGGGATTGGGAATGCGCTTGATCTCAAAGTCGTCGGTCTTGAGCTTGTGCATGATTTTCTACGTTTCGTTCGCAGCACTATGAGCCGCCGGCCACGACGATGCCAACGTACCCGGTGCTCTTCGTCGAGGTTGAAGGCGCGCTCGCTTTGGCTCTTGACCATCATGTCGCGGCGCTCAAACTTGCCGCCGACAAAGTTCTGGAGGCCAGCGAAGCCGCCGACGACAAAGATGACGAACGGCAGCCCGACGCGGGCAAACGTGTTGGACGACTTGCGGCGGGCCATGCTGGCGGATGGTCGATGAAGCCTTTCTATGCTACCCTTTCTTTTGTCTTGCAACACGCAATTTAACGGTGCTTTTTGGCGTTGGAAAGGGCGTTTTGGAATGCTGAGTGGCGTGTAAATAGTCGTCAAGAATGTCACCAACAAGTGCAAAGTGGAAAAGGACGCTGCGCCAGTGAACAACTTGCGACCGATTATGCGTCTTCACGTCGGGCAGTACGCGGCCCTGCTGACGGCCAGCATTGCCTCGCTCCTCGCGGGCTCCACGACCATGCACATGATCCTCAAGCCCGACCTCGTACGTCCTCCTCGCCATCCTTCTCATGGTCCTAACGCGGTCGATTGCAGACGATCCCCGAGCTGCCGGCGGACAAGGCCAAGCCATGAGTGTAGTGGGATGGTCGCATCAGTCGTGCGTGGATCCTTCTTTTGTTTTTATATGCTACATGGAGGCTATTCTACTCTAATGGCTACGAGACGATGCTGGCGTGGGGCGGCGCGAACCCGTGGTGGTTGTACTCGCGCACGGGCGACGGGTGGTGCCAATACGACGACGGCGGCGCGGCGACGTTGTACCGGTGGACGTGGCAGTAGCCGCGCATGCACATGCCACACGGCGGCTCGGAGAAGTACCGCACGACGCGCTGCGTCATGAGGAACTCGGGGTGGAGCCACTCGGGCGATAGCGCTTCTTGCCGCTCAAAGTCCCAGCCAAACTGCGCGGCCGTGCGCTGGTAGATGGCCGAGAGGTGCATGTCGAGCTCCGTATCGCGCTCGTACACCTCGTCGTTGTCACTGCCAAAGTCGTGGTCGTCGGCGTCCGGCGTCACATGCACAATGAACGCATCAAACTTGCGCTTCAGCGGGACGACCGGGCGACTCACGGGCTGGAACGCCACGGCCTTGGGGTTCAAGCGCGACGCTCGGGCTTTCGTCGGTGAAATCGACGGCTCGGCGTGCGCTGGCGACGATGGGCTCGACGCCGGCGGTGACGCGTCATAGCCAGTCACGACTGTGTGGACGTCGACGGGCGGGGGCAGTGTCGCAGCACACAACGTGGTATCGTGGAGAGTATCTTGCGGTATCCTGTCGTCGAGGGGTGCCACGGGCAGTGGGATGGACGATGTCGATGTTGCTGACGCCGCCTTTTTCCGCTTCTTCTTCTTCTTGGTCTTGTGCACGGGCGGTGCTGTCAAAGCGGACGACGTCGCGAGGTCTTCTTCGAGCAAGAGCGCTTCCATTTGCCGCAGCGACTCGCGCTCGAGGTACGCGACAAAGCTCTTGAGAATGAGCTACATTCGATGCGTCAATGCTGTGTCATGGTGGGAACGAAGGGAATGTACCTGCTCGAGGAGGATCGCGACCAAGTGCTGGTACTCGTCCCAGGTGCTAATGGCCTCGCTGTCGCGGAAGAAGAGCTGCTGGAAGTCACCGTCGCCGAGCACATACGTGTGCGAGAGGAAGCCCCGGAGGTTTTCCTGCACGAGCGCAAAGAGCGTGTCAACCTTGTCGTCCTGGACGAGCTCGTTCTTGACCGTCATGATGCCCGTGCCAATGTCCATAAACTCCATGGCCTCGAGCAGCTCGTACGTCGGTTCGTCGCTGCCGCCCGCCTCGTCGGCCTTCTTCTTCTTGAGGCGGCGCTGCACAAGGCCGACGCAGAGGAGGCTAAAGTTGAGCTTGTACAGCTGCTTGACGAGGTCGGCTTCGTCGAGGAAGAGGACGCTTTGGCGCTCGGTGGCCGAGAGGCAGCGCCAGTAGGCTTGGACGCGCGGTGGGATCGCGGCCTGCCGCTCCTGCTTCATGTAGCGGGCCCACACGGACGCCGCAGCGATGGGCATGCTGGAGGATTTGACCGACTGGTGACGACAAGCAAACCAGTCCGACCAAAGTCCGCTTTGCAATATGAAAATCGAACGCGGTTTCTCTTGTGTTTTGTATACCAACCCATAAGTGCGTCTTATTCCAGAACCTTCAAGCTTCTATAATTTATCCGGACAAATCTACGGATACGCTGGGACACGGCGAAATGGCGCCAGAAATGCTACAGCCGACGTAACGTTGCTGCTACACGAGGGACTTCCAAGGATCGGACGCCAACGACCGATGACAGAGCCGCTCCGACGGTGCAGCGCTCGCTCCTCTGCTGACGATGCCATGGCTTGGAGCTCTATAGCCTTGGCTCTTGGCGAGACCAACCGAGACTATGGCGGAGATGATGTGGGCAGCCGGGATGGGCAGACGGACGGAGTGAGAGGCGCCGGTCCGTACAGTAGTACTAGTACAGTAGCTGCAGCGTCGACTTCACAACGTCAAGAAGCCTCCGTCATGCAAGCACAGCAGCATGTGCTTGTACCAGGAGATGGTAGATCGCAGAGAAGGACGAGATGCAGAGCATATCGCGGGCGAGATGCGGTGGCTTGCCGGGAATGGTCGATGGAGGCACTTCAATGAGCCGCCCTCGCTGACAACGTGGTACGCGACGTGCCCATCGCACTCGTTTGCGCCTTATCCCAAGGTCTCTCTTGGGTCCAACTCACTTCGTTTCGACCCACGTCAGCTCCAAGCAAGAGCGATCGCCATTGAGCGTTTCGGTGCCAAGTGGGTCGCTGGCGCATCGATGCGACTACTTCGGACCGACCCGTTGTACCGACCGAGTGCGTAGCAAGAGGCTTGCCGTAGGCTCCCGGCCGGAGGCTTGGGATGGAGCGACGGTGAAGCTCGTGAAGCCGGCGAGCCGCCACCAACTACACGGAACATCAGGGTGTCGTGAGGCTTGTGCACGCTAAGATCTGATGCGACTCAATATGACCTCCTCTGCCATGCTTGCTCGCATGTAAACGCGTCGTGGGCAAGTTGATATTAGTTGATGTTGTGCAGCGGGTGGTTGACTCGACCGACCTTGTTGCCGGTCTGCGTCTCGTTGTAAATGATGATGTTCTTGCGCATCTCGGCGGCCGCGCTAATCTTATCCACGGGCGCGTGCTTGCGCTGGTGGATCGTCTGCGTCCAGAGGTCAATCTCGTTGCGGTAGGCCTCGGGAAACGTGAGGCGCGTCGCCGTGAGCCGGTGCATGACCAGCTCGACCGCCGTCTTGGCCCACGACGTTGTGTGGCGGGCCATGAGCGTGCGGAGACACGGGAAGAGGACTCTGTCGAGCGCGTCGACATCGCCGTCGTTCTTGCTCTCGACGCCTTCGTCGCGGCGGTCGAGGTGCGATGCGAGGGCTTTTGTCGCTTTCGCAAAGCGGTACGTGTCGTCCGTGAAGAGGTCGTTGTGCAAGACCGCGTCGAGCACCCAATTGTCGAGCGTGTCGGCCTCGTATTCAGGCGCCGTAAGCAGCGCAGCGCGATGCGCATCCACGAGCAGTACGAGCGCCTTGAATTCGTTCCGCGCGTCAACGTGGTGGATGCGATCGGCCTTGGCGTCCATGACGTCCTTGATCGCGTCCAGTAGCGCGGTCATGACCTCGTCCGACGGCGAGCGCACGCTGCACTCTTCGACGAGAAGCTTTCCAAAGAGGACCGAGGCCTTGGCAAACTTCTTGTCGACCATCTACCGCACAAAGCATACATGATCCATCTCCATAGCGAGCGTGCAGTGTACCATGTAGCCCTTGATCTTGTCGATGGTCTGGAAGAGGTCGAGCGCTGGCTTGGCCGCCGGCTTGGGCGATGGCGGCGATGGTGTTGGCTCGATCGCGGCGCGCTTTGCAGCGGGCTGGCTAGGCTCGTCGCCTCCTACCAGCGGGCGCTTCGCGGGTACGGGCGTCGTCGCGCTCGGGAGGTCCGCATAGGGGTCATCGCTCATTGTGGTCGAAACCCAATATTGCATGTGGTAATATTCTCTCTATCATTCAATATTATATCCATTCATAGAGGTTACTGGATGAGTGGGTCAGATTATTGCTGATAATTCCGTCTGACGCATCCGCGCAACGAAGACGACCCACTTCGTACGCCTCGTTGCCCATCACTATGTGCAACTGGTCGAGTCGAAGCTCGTCCATCCGAGGTGCGCTGCAAGAATGACAACACCAGACCATGGGACCAGTCTCGACCAGTTGATGGCTGAAAAGCGCCAATTATTGGTGCGCGGGATAATTTTATTGAAGCCGTATACAGAACGTGGTATGTTTTTGTATTTTCAGCAATAAACTGGTCATTTACGTTATACCGCCATTTGATGCATTTATAATTATGACCGTATTTAATGCATTTCGGGGACGCATCAATAGCAAAAAGAGGTATTTAAAAAAAGTACAGTACATAATAATATTCGAAAAAGCACCACAAGCGCGGGCGACCCGCATCGTGACCTTTTCAACTTTTGAAATCGCACAGTATTGGCCATAGCGCCGGGCAGTCGCCATAGCGCACTACCTCGCCTTCCTCGTTGAGCAGAGCATGGCTCCGAACCAGCGCCAGCGCGAGGCCGTCGAGCCGGCGCCGGTACCAGCCACGCGCCCATCGCCGGCCAAGAGGGCGCGCCGCTATCGGATCAAGCAGACCTCGGCGGCGCCGTTGATCGCGACGCAATCGCTGCTGACCGTCGAGCCGCTCGCGTCTTTGATGCTACCCTGTCTGCGCCAGCGGGATGGCGTCGCGCCGCCTGCATCACTTCCGCTTCGAGTTGCGAGCCCACCGCCGGCAAAGCGCCGTGCACTGCTGCCCGAGGCCGCACCGGTTACAGCGACCCCGACAAGCGGCGGCGTCCTTGAAGATCTACCGCTGGCATCGACAGTGTTGCCGCGCCCGAGGAAGAAGATGGGCCGACCGAGAAAGACCCGTGTCGAACGACCGCCTGCAACCGACGCACCGCCATCGATCCTCGAGA